CCCAGTGGGAAGCCGCAGTGAGTCACAGCCGGCCCCCAGGAAGCACGCCCTACCCCAGGGAGACTTGCTGCACTCAGGGCAGAACTGAAAGGAAGAAGGCGTCTCCACCAAAGGAAACACGGGGAGGAAGGGAACTTCCGCCATAGCAGTTCCTGGGCCCTCCATCCCCACTGTGGTAGCTCCACCGTCTGTCTCCTGTGATGGCTTCTTCCTCTTCTTTGGTTTGCTTCCTGTGGTAAACCGTACTTGTTAACAGCTTCCCGAGTTGGAGTTAGTGGGTGATGATGTTTAGGGCATCGGGCTTACGTGTTTGAGACCCTCTGATTGGAAGCTCAGACTGGGCATCACCCCGGGATTTGGGAGCCCCGTGTGGCCCTCTAGTCTCACACGTCAGAGGCAGCAAGCTCCCGGCTCACATGTGCCACCTGTTTTCTTTCCTCTCTGAGGGCGTTTAGGTTCTTTTCTAAGCCCTATTTTTCCGAAATTTCCCAATAATGTGGACTATTTTCTGGGTCAGGACAGGGGATCCCAGAACGGCATCACTGAGCCAGGAGAGTGTCATAGTCAGAGCTTGGGAGAATTTAGTAACAGATAAGGACAAAATCAAGCAAACAGAACAGTGAGAAAAACTACTAATTCTAAGGGAAAACTTAATATAAGTAAGCATTGTACCCTGAGTAAACAAATCAGCTCAGCAGTAAACAGCATGTGCAGGTTCACACTGAGGTCAACAGTAGATACTCCTTTTTTTCGTTTGTTGTGCTGGGCTCACTAAACTCTTTTAGTCTGTAAATTCATGGCGTTAGCAGAGAGCAGTTTCTCTTATTTCTTTGATATTTTCCTTCTTCTGTTTCTGGGACTTCTAATTAGGTATTAGATCACTTGAATTAATGCTTTTCTTACTTTTGCCTTTAATATTTTATACTTTGCGTTTTTGGCCTGCATCAGAGAGATTTCTTCATCTTTTAAATTGTCACCCTTTTATTGACTTTTGAACGTTCTACCATGATTTTTTGTTTTTTTAAACATGAGGTTTTGCTGTGTTGCCCAGTCTAGACTCAAACTCCTGGGCTCAAGTGATCCTCCCATCTCAGTCTCCCAAGCACTTGGAACCACAGGTGCGTGCCACCGTGCCCAACATCTGTTGTGTTTTTAATTTCTAAGAGCTCTTTTTTATTCTCAGATATTTTAATAAAAGCCTCCAGTTCTTATTCATGGATACACAGTCTTAGTGTGTCATCTCTGAAAATACTGTAGTTTAAAAGTTGCCTTCTGTTCTCTACGCTCTCTCTCCTCTGAGTGCCTTGTTTTCTGCTTGGTCCTCACCATCCTTTCATGAGTGAGGCCCTAACTCCTGCACAGAGTTTGGGATCTGCGGGGGGCTTGTTCACCACAAGCTTAGAGGACGCTAGTTGACTTTTCTCGTTGTCCCATTATTTTTCCCAGAAAAGAATCTTTCTAGCTCTCCCCTGTTGGGTGTGGACCTGTCAGTATCCTGGGAGCTGAGGTGGGAAGAGGGCTCTCCCACTGCCCTGGCCGGCTGAGCCCACCCTGCCCTTGCTGGCCGCTGATTCAGTCTCCAGGCCCCCCTGGAGTTCTGTGGCCTGAATTCTCATCTCTAGTTGGTCCCCCTTCTGTGGGCTCCTGAAACTCAGCCTTCCCTGTGCCAAGTCGGTCTTCACATGGCCAGCCGCTTCGGTCCCCGAGGCCTGTTTCATTGTTTCTGCTTCTCTTTTCTTGCCTTTTAAATTCTTTGTGTTATTTGAGAGGGAATATCAACAGGCCTCTGTGCTCCATCTGCTATGTTTGACTGGAATTTCTATACCTTGTATAAGTTTTTTTGTTTTTGAGACAGAGTCTTGCTCTGTCACCAGGCTGGAGTGCAGTGGCGCAGTCTCAGCTTACTGCAACCTCTGCCTCCTGGGTTCAAGTGATTCTTCCGCCTCAGCCTCCTGAGTAGCTGGGACCACAGGCGCGTGCCACCATGCCTGGCTAATTTTTTTGCATTTTTAGCAGAGACGGGGTTTCACTGTGTTGGGCAGGATGGTCTCGATCTCTTGACCTCGTGATGCACCCGCCTTGGCTCCCAAAGTGCTGGGATTACAGGCGTGAGCCACCGCACCCAGCCAGGTTTTTAAAACTACTAGAGGAATACCTGTTATTTGAAGAATAGTTGTAAAATGTTGATAAAGGAAAAATATCTTAGTTCTTCCATCTAGAGAGTCAGCATCTTATAGCTTGGTCTGTGCCATGTGTGCATACGTTTGTTCATATGTAGAAAGATCAGCTTGGGGCCAGGCACAGTGGCTCAGGCCTGTAATTCCAGCATTTTGGGAGGCCGAGGCAGGTGAATCACTTGAGGTCAGGAGTTTGAGACCAGCCTGGCCAACATGGTGAGACCCCGTCTCTACCAAAAATACAGAATTTAGCCAAGCATGGTGGTGCGTGCCTGTAGTCTCAGCTACTCGGGAGGTTGAGACAGGACGTGAACCTGGGAGGCAGAGGTTGCAGTGGGCCGAGATCTCACCCTTGCACTCCAGCCTGGGCAATGGAGCGAGACTCTTGTCTCAGAAAAAAAAAAAAATTCAGTTTGTTCCCTGTGCTCTTGAAATACTTCTTCAAGGAATGGTTTGTACGTTTCTCTGCTTCCTCACCTTTGATCTTCCTCCTCACCCCATGGGATGTGACTTTTTCCCCTGCCCTGTGCACCATGTCTTAGTGTTAGAGATCTGGTAGACCCTGGGCCTTGCTGTGGCCTTTGATGCTGCCAACCTGGCCCTCCTCTCCTGCCCTGTGGTCCTCCTGCCCTGAGGGGCTGTGTGTTGTCCATTGTGCCAGGTGCTTGTTGGCCAGCCCCTGTGACATCCCACAAAGTGGGTACTGCCTGCCCCGTTTCACAGATAAGGACACTAAAGGCCAGAAAGGTCGGCTAGTGAGGGGATAAGCCTGGGCCTTCCCCAGCCCCCTGTGCCCAGCTCTCAGGCCCCCTCTCTGCCCACAGACCCAGCTTGCAGCGCCCCTGTGGGCAGAGAGGGGGCCTCCATTGTGCCCCAACCATGTCCTCTCCCCTGAACCCGAGCCTGCTGGGCCACTCTTTGACCCAGCAGGTCTCTACATTCCACCTGCCCTTACAGGTGCTGTTCCTCAGAGCTCTAAAAGTGGCACTTTTTTGTCTGGGCTGATGAGGAACACCCACCCCACAGCCAGCCGAGGTCCTTCCGTTTCTTCCCTTTCCACACTTGGTCAGCTGCCAGGCTTGGCCAGCTGTTTCCTGTAGAGTCTCTCAAACCCAGGCCCCTTCTAGCCAGTTGCAGTGACCACCTGGGCTTAGTGCTGCCTCTGTGCCCGGAACTGGCCACGCGTTGGCAAGAGAAGGAAGGTCATAGCAGCTGACCTCGAGCACACACTTGATGTGCGACCGGCATGGGCAGGCGCTGTCACCTGCACATTCCATTTTTTTTTTTTTTGAAATGGTGTCTTGCTCTCTTGCCCAGGCTGGAGTGCAGTGGTGCGATCTTGGCTCACTGCAACCTCTGCCTCCCAGCTTCAAGCAATTCTCCTGCCTCAGCCTCCCACGTAGCTGGGACTATAGGCATGCACCATCACGCCTGGCTAATTTTTGTGTTTTTAGTTGGCACGGGGTTTCACCATGTTGGCCAGGCTGGTCTCTAACTCCTGACCTCAAGTGATTCACCTGCCTTGGCCTCTCAAAGTGCTGGGATTACAGGTGTGAGCCACTGTGCCTGGCTTTTTTTTTTTTTTTTTTTGAGTCAGGGTCTTACTCTGCCAGCCAGGCTGGAGTGCAATGGTGTGATTTTGTCTCACTGCAACCTTTGCCTCCTGGGCTCAAGCCATCCTTCCACCTCAGCCTCCCGTGGAGCTGGGGTTACAGGCACATGCCATCATGCCTGGCTGATTTTTCTTTCTTTCTTTCTTTCTTTTTTTTTGTAGGGACGGGGTTTTGTCATGTTGCCCAGGCTGGTCTCGCACCCCTGAGCTGAAGTGATCCACCCACCTTGGCCTCCCAAAGTGCTGGGATTATAGGTGTGAGCCACCGTGTCTGTCCTCACCTACACGTTCAGATGAGAAAACCCAGACACAGAGAGGACAGGTCACTTGCTGGTGTCAGGGCAGGCCTGTTCTGAGACAGCCATTCCCACAGGACGCTCCCACTGGGTTCCTGCCAGCTGGGCCTGTGCTCCTCTCCAGCATTCCTAGAGGCAGGGTCAGGTGCCAGGCCTTGCTGTGGGGGGCTGCTTTTGAGGGCTGCAGCCTGGGCTGTGGGGTGTGCCTCTCCTAGGGTGATGGCCGTCATCCACCTGTGTCTACCAGGTGTAAAAGAGGGAGCACAGTGATGTCATTGTGGGATTAGATGCATTGGGCTAAGGATTGTTTTCTATCTGTTTTTTTTTTTTTTTAATCAAATGAAAAGTACATTATTCACAAGTATTGGTATTTCTTAGTCATAAAGTTCTTGCATAGTGCCTCATCCCTCACACTGCTTCCTGAGCTGCTGATGGGGTGTGTCTCCCATCTGGGGATGGATTGGGTCTGTGTTTGTTGATGGAAGGGGCACTGCCTGGAGGGAGAGGAGAGGCTCAGTGGAGAGGGAGATGGACATGGCTGCAGATGTGGGTGCGGCCTCACTGAAACAGTGGGGTAGACGGGAGGTGAGAGACCTGACAGGTAAGTACGAAGGCCTGGAGAGAAGAAAAGCCAGAAGACTAAGAAAGGTGATTTAAAGAATGGGAGGAGGGTCAGAAAATGTAGGGTATCAGAGTATAGGGCATGAGGAGCATAGAAAGTAAGTTAAAAAACAACGTCTAGCAGTCAAAAATATCAGCGGGTCACAGATAGACACGTTTTTATTCTGTTCTGCGGCCTGTAGTGTTTGTTTTTATCACGTGGATCTGCTTCCTAAGAAGCAGACTATGTAAGCAGCTTCCTAAAAGTTGGAGAAGTCTAATTTCACCTCCAGTGCTTGGACTGTGCCCTTTTAGATACCCAAACACAGCCTGTGAGCTTCTGACTTGTGATGTGCCGCAGATCAGCGACCGCCTCGGTGGGGACGAGAGCCTGCTGAGCCTCCTGTATGACTTCCTGGACCACGAGCCGCCACTCAATCCTCTGCTCGCCAGTTTTTTCAGCAAGACCATTGGCAATCTCATTGCAAGAAAAACCGAACAGGTAAATAATATGCAAAGGCTGTGTGATTTGGGGCGTTGTCACGATGGATGCTGATGTGTCCTGCTGTGGGCCTGGCTGTGCGGCTCATCTTCAGGCCGTGGAAACAGCATTTGTGACTCTTCCGTGCAACACGTGTGGAACAGTGTACGTTTTGCTAATCTGAGAGCTGGAATTTGAAGGAGTATTTCTGGCCTGTAATTCCAGCACTTTGGGAGACTGAGCTGGGCAGATCACTTGAGGTCAGGAGTTTGAGGCCAGCCTGGCCAACATGGTGAAACCCAGTCTCTACTAATAGTACAACAATTAATCTGGGTGTGGTGATGTGCACCTGTAATCCCAGCTACTTGGGAGGCTGAGGCAGGAGAATCACTGGAGCCCAGGAGGCAGAGGTTGCAGTGAGCTGAGATTGTGGACTGTACTCCAGACTAGGCGACAGAGTGAGACTCTTATCTCGGAAAAACAAAAACGAGGGGAGTGTTTCTTATGGCTGGCTCTGGAATAAGCAGCACTTCCTGCTATCCCTGGGAGCTGCACAGGGCTCCAAAGTAGCCATCTTGTCCTGTCACCGAGCAGGTGCAGGTGCAGGTGCAGGTGTGAGGTCCTGGGGCATCATGGCAGGACCTTGGACACCCGCCTTCTCAAGTCTGCGGCTTCTTCTGTGTGGGTGGTGTGAGAGGAGAGGAGAGGAGAGGAGACCGCAGCTGTAATGGGGTCTTCCTGGAGTCCATCCTTGCTCCTGCCTCACATGTGACCTGACCTGGGCTTCTGCCTCTCCAGGCTGTGGACACACAGGTAGAGAGGTGTGGTGGCACCTGTGCCTGCACCCAGCGGTCTGCCTTGGCCAGTCTTCTTGGCTATGTCATGCTCCACCCGCCCATCCCTGACAGAAGTATTTTAAAACAAATCCCAGACACCAGATTATTTCTTACGTAAATATTTTAGTATGTATATTTATTTGTTTGTTTTTGAGACAGGTTTCACTGTGTGCCCAGTCTGGAGTGCACTGGCACCATCACAGCCCACTGCAGTTTTACCCTTCTCAAGTTCAGGTGATTCTCCCACCTTGGCCTCCTGAGTAGCTGGGACCACAGGCATGTACCACCACACCTTGCTAGATTTTCTTTGTATTTGTAGTAGAGATGAGGTTTCCCCATGTTACCCAGGCTGGTCTTGAGCTCCTGGGCTCAAGTGATCTGCCTGCCCCAGCCTCCCAAAGTCCTGGGACTACAGGTGTGAGGCACCATGCCCAGCTGTGTATCTCTAAAATAAGGACTTTTTTTCTTTCAAATGTAATTAGAATTTCATGATCACATTCCAAAAATATTAACCATAATTATTCCATACCATCAAACATTCAGTCAGGGAATTAACCAGTATTTCATGTCTGCTTGGAGCTCTGAGAAAGTGCAGTCCCAGAAAGGCCACTGTTCCACTTGAGGACATCCATCGTGTGTGTTGTGAGTGGCAGCGGAATGGGAGCTGTGGCGTGGGCCGTGGCGTGGGCCGGGGGTTGTCGTGGCTGTGAGGTGGTGGTAAGAAGTTGTGAAAACCTTTACTGCCTGGCCCTTGCAGCCCAGTGACTAGAATTGTGTATCTCGTAATTTGCTATATCCTGATCTTACTCCTCCGCCACTTTCAGATATTTTCTTTATAATTTTACGGCTTCATATAATATTTTTCTCCCATCTCCCATTAACTTAGTGCTGAATGCATTAAAGTAATATGAACTGAACTGTTAAAAATTCTTCTGTTGACAGATGTTTAACTCATGTATGTGAATTTCAAACAATACAGAAATATGTAAACCAGTGTTCTGTCATCTCTGGAGATGGCTACTGTTGATGATTTAATGCATGTGCCTCTTAAGTTTTTTTTTCCCCAGTAGACATATTTTCACACAGTAGTGTCATACGCTGAATACCACAGATTGCCTTGTTCACTTGGACATGGGTCTTGTCTGACTCTCCCTGCAGAGCGGCCTGCGCCGCCCTCCTGGGCTCTGCCTCCATCACCCAGCAGCTGGCTTGTTCTCAGGGCCAGCAGTGAGGCAGGGCTGCTGTGAGCCTTCCCCCGGTGTTTCCTGACGCTGTGGGAGATAGCCCAAAGGTGGGGCTTTAGTGAAGGGACCATCTGCATTTACCCAGCCCTTCATTGCGAGTTCTTTCAAACGTCTACAGATTAATTATTTCATGAACCCCCACGTCTCCATCACCCAGATTCCACATCATCTCTTCATGGCCAGTCACATTTCTTCTGTATCCCTTTATTTCCACCCCCCACCCCAGATTATTGTGAAGCAAGTCCCAGACATCGTATCATTTTGTATTTATTTCAGTGTGTTTTTCTAAAGGATAAGAACTCTTCTACAAGCATGACCATAATACCATTATCACACCTAAAACGTTCGTGATAATTTCTTACTTTCATCAAATATTTGTACAGTGTTCAAATCGCTTTGATTATCTCATAAAACGTTTCTTAGAGTTGGTTTGTTAGAACTGCAGTAGTTTTGTGGTTCATCTTGGTGGTGGCGTCCAATGTGGGGTCCAGCAGGTGTTTTCTGTGAGGGGCCAGGTAGCAGCTACCTCGGGTATCCTGGGCCTCTGATGACCTCGGTCTCACATTCTTCTCTTTGTTTGTTTTTTTAACAGCCCTTTAACGTAGTGAACACTCTCAGGGCACAGGCTCTGCAGACACAGATGTGGTAGGACTGGGCTGTGGGCAGGGCTTGGATGAGCCAGCTCTGCTGCCCTGCGTCCCCCCAACCTCCAGCGCCCTTCATCTAGGTGAGATTTTTCTCAGCAGGCAAGAATGTGTCATTGCACTTCGGATGGCACCTTTTCCTTATGGGTCCTTGGGAGTTATACTGATCAATATTTGCATTGTAGACATTGTTCTTTGACCTTTTATTTTGAAGCTTAACACAAAGGCAGAAGAGTGTACAACACGGGCTGGAGCTCAGGGTGCTATCAGAGCCAGCAGCTGAGTAGTCACCGCTCAGGTCCCAGAAGCTCAGAGGCTGCCCATGCCAGCCCCATCACTGCCTCCCTTCTCCTCCTCAGTTACTGCCCTGCCTTAGACCAATGGATTAATAGTTTAGTTTGCCTGTTTTGAAGTTTTATAAAATGTTTTGAGATATTATAGAGTCACAAGAATTTGCAAAAATATTTCAGCGAGTTCTCATATACCCTCCACCCAGATTCCCCCAGTGGCTCTACATGATATCCAAACCTGGAATTGACATTGGCACAACGGAGCTGTATAAGTCTTGATAGTTCATAGAATTATTCCTCTCACTTTGTTTTTCTTCAAGATTGTTTTTACGATTCTTTGCCTTTTCCTTTTTTTGAGACTGAGTTTTGCTTTTGTCATCCAGGCTGGAGTGCAGTGGTGCAGTCTCAACTCACTGCAACCTCTGCTTCGCGGGTTCAAGCGATTCTCCTGCCTCAGCCTCTCAAGTAGCTAGGACTACAGATGTACACCACCCCGCCGCTAGTTTTTGTATCTTTTAGTAGAGATGGAGTTTTACCGTGTAGGCCAGGCTGGTCCCGAACTCCTAACCTCAGGTGATCCACCCTCTTCAGCCTCTAAGAGTGCCGGAATTACTTTGAGTTGCGAGCCACTGCACCCAGCCTATTTTGTTTATTTTTATTTTTTTCTTTCTTATTATTTAAATTTTTGCTTTCTTTTTTCCTTGATTGTTTTGGAATAAGCAAATTTAGAATGAGTCTATTAGTTTCTACACTCTCCACCTCCCTACCCTGCTCCCCAAAAATAAACCTACTGAAATTTTGATGAGGTTTGCATTGGCTGTAGTTGGCGTCTGGCAGACTGTGGTCCACAGGTCAAAAGCAGCCATGAATTGTGTGAATGAAGTCTTACTGAAGCACAGCTACTTCCATTTCCAGCTCCTGTCCAGGGCCCCTTTTACACCACAGCAGCAAAGCTGGTAGCTCAGGCTGCTTTGATTTCTCAGGAATACACTGTAATTCTCTATAGCAATCTTAAGCATTTTTCACTAGATTTATTCTTAGGTATTTGATATCTTTGTATTATTCTAAGTGGTATCTTTTTAGTTGAAATTTTGATTGAGATTTATTTGCATGAGGTTGTATGAAATACTATGGAGAAAATCCTTGGCTGGGCACAGTGGATCACTCCTGTAATCCCAGCACTTTGGGAGGCCGAGGCGAGTGGATCACTTGAGCCCATGAGTTCAAAACCAGCCTGCCCAACATGCCGAAACCCTGTCTCTACTGAAAGTATAAAAATTAGCTGGGTATGGTGGCACATGCCTGTAATCCCAGCTACTTGTGGGGGCTGAAACAGGAGAATCGCTTGAACCCGGAGGCAGAGCTTTCAGTGAGCCGAGATCTGGCCACTGTACTCCAGCCTGGGTGACAGAGTGAGACTCTGTCTCAAAAAAAAAAGAAAGAAAGAAAGGCCCAGCACAGTGACTTATGCCTGTAATTCCAGCACTTTAGGAAGTCAAGGTGGGCAGATCACCCGATGTCAGGAGTTTGAGACCAGCCTGGCCAACGTGGTGAAACCTCATCTCTACTAAAAATATAAAAATTAGCCAGGCATGGTGGTGGGCACCTGTAATCCCAGCTACTCGGGAGGCTGAGGCAGGAAAATCGCTTGAACCCGGGGGTAGAGGTTGCCGTGAGCCTCTCCTCCCTCCCCTCCCCTTCTCTCGCTCCACTCCCCCTCTCCCTCACTCTGTCACCAGTCTGGAGTGTAGTGGCGTGATCTCAGCTCACTGCAATCTCTGCCTTTCAGGTTCAAGTGATTCCACTGCCTCAGCCTCCTGAGTAGCTAGGACAGCAGGTGTGCACCACAAATTTGTTGTATTTTAGTAGAGATGGGGTTTCACCATGTTGGCCAGGATGGTTCTCCAGCTCCTGACCTCTTGATCCACCCACCTCAGCCTCCCAAAGTGCTGGGATTAGGCCAGGCTCAGTGGCTCACCCCTGTACTCCCGGCACTTTGGGAGGCCTAAATGGGCGGATCTCGAGGTCAGGAGTTCGAGACCATCCTGGCTAACATGGTGAAACCTCATCTCTACTAAAAATACAAGAAATTAGCCAGGCATGATGGCATGCACCTGTAATCCTAGCTACTTGGGAAGCTGAGGCAGGAGAATTGCTTGAACCCAGGAGGCGGAAGTTGCAGTGAGCCTAAATTATGCCACTGCACTCCAGCCTGGGCGACAGAGTGAGACTCTGTCTCAAAAAAAAAAAAAAAAAAAAAAAAGAAAAGAGAGAAAGTGCTGGGATTACAGGCATGAGCCACCACTCCAGCCCTTTTTTGGAGACAGAATCTCGCTCTGTTTCCCAGGCTGGAGTGCAGTGGCATGATCTCGGCTCACTGCAACCTCTGCCTCCTGGGTTCAAGCAGTTCTCCTTCCTCAGCCTCCCAGGTAGCTAGGATTACAGGGACCGGCCACCACGCCCAGCTAACTTTTGTACTTGAGACGAGGTTTCTCCATATTGGCCAGGCTGGTCTTGAGATCTTGACCTCAGGTGATCTGCCTGCCTCGTCCTCCCAAAGTGCTGGGATTATAGGCGTGAGGCGCAGCCTTTTTTTTTTTTTTTTTGAGACGGAGCTTCGCTCTTGTTACCCAGGCTGGAGTGCAATGGCGCGATCTCGGCTCACCGCAACCTCCGCCTCCTGGGTTCAGGCAATTCTCCTGCCTCAGCCTCCTGAGTAGCTGGGATTACAGGCACGCACCACCATGCCCAGCTAATTTTTTGTATTTTTAGTAGAGACGGGGTTTCACCATGTTGACCAGGATGGTCTCGATCTCTTGACCTCGTGATCCACCCGCCTCGGCCTCCCAAAGTGCTGGGATTACAGGCTTGAGCCACCGCGCCCGGCCGCCTTTTTTTTTTTTTAATTTTATTTTTTGAGTTGGAGTCTTGCTCTGTCACCCAGGCTGCAGTGTAGTGGAGTGATCTTGGCCCATTGCAGCCTCTGCCTCCCAAGGTAAAGCAGTTCTCCTGCCTTAGCCTTCTGAGTAGCTGGGACTATAGGCACACGCCAGGATGCCCACCTAATTTATATGTTTTTAGTAGAGACCATGTTGGCCAGGTTGGTCTTGAACTCCTGAGCTCAAGTGATCTGCCTGCCGCAGCCTCCCAAAAGTGCCAGGATTACAGGCGTGAGCCACCTCGCCCAGCCTGGGTTGGCGGTTGCTTTTTTTTTTTTTTTTTTTAATGTTTGGAAGAATTAATTGGTAAGGCCATTAAACCTTGAAGTTCTCTGTATAGAGAGCCTATTAATGATAGGTTTTGTGGGTTTTTTTGATGTTTTGGAACTATTCTGATTTTGTTTCTTGTCAGTTTAGAAAGTACTTTAAGGAAGTTTATTTTTTTAAATTTGCAAAAACTGGCATAAAATTGTTCCTATTAATTTCTCATAATACGCCAGGTGTGGTGGCTCATGCCTATTTTCTCAGCATTTGGGAGGCTGAGGTGGGAGGATCACTTGAGCTCAGAAGGTAGAGGCTGCAGTGAGCTGTAATCTTGCCACTGTACTCCAGCCTGGGCCACAGAGTGAGACCCTGTCTCAAAAAAAAAAAAAAACCTACAGACTTCTCATAATAGTTTTTATTTCTGTAGGCTCTTTAGTGATGTCCCTTGTTTCATTCTTAATATTGTATTTGCACCTTCTGTTTTGTCCTTAGTTTTTCTAGAAGTTTAATCATCCTTTTCGATGAGTCATTCTCCTCCCTTCCTCCCCTCCTCCCCTATGCTCTCCTCCCCTCCTCC